TTATTAATCTAATAATAAGCTTATATAAGCTTTTATTAAAGTAAGCTAAAGAGAAGTAAGTAACGTATTAGTTAAGTAATTTAATTAATTAAGGTTTATAATATTTTAAAGCTTATTAGCTTAAGCTTAACCCTTTAATACTTTATATTAATTATACTATTAACTTAAAAGCTTTAACTTAAGCTTAATAAATAATTAAGTGTTTATAAAAGTAATATTAATATTTATTAAATACGTAAATATAATAAAATAAGTATTAAAATAATACCTTAAATACTTAATTTTCTTAAGTAAAAGTTATAAGAAATTTAAAGTTCTCTTAAGCTTATAATTATTATACTTTAAAGAGTATTAATTATAATAATAATATATATATATAAGTTTATATTTAATTATAAAAGAGAGAATTATATACGCTCTTTTTATAAGTACGCTTATTATTAGGGTTATTTACTTGTAGTTAAGGGTTTACCCTTATTTAATTAAGCGTACGTAATTTGTACCCGTAATAAGTGACCCATTCTGACACAGACATTTGCCGGGCGAAAAAAAAAAAAAAGAGAAAGAAAGAAAAGGAAGCGACAAAAAAGAAGAAAGCAATAATAACACTGAGCGAGTGGAGTCTCGGCGCGATAACAAGGACAGTTGTGTATAGACGCCAGACTTATACCAAGCCCTCGCAGCGCACACCAATACACGTGCATTCCCCTGCCGCCCAGGAGAGCCGTGTGAACAACGGGCGGTGTGAGGCGAAGGCTCGAGGACAAATTCATTGGCAGCAAGCACAGGTGCAACTTGTTCCTCGCCAGGCCGCAGGAACGAAACGGTGCGAAGCAGCGACGTACCATATCTTCATCCAACAGACAGACCACACAGAGCAGACGTCTCCTGCGTGTGAGCTGGTCGAGGGAAAGGGCTGATTACTTCAAAGTTCATGTATAGAGCGTGGCGCGGAGAGATGGCAACCCGAGATGAAGATACCTACTGCTGCCCGCAAAAGACCGATGAAAACAACACCATAACTCAAATAGACTTTGTCACTCTTGGAATGTTCATAATCGGTGAGTCACACAAAGCTTCCTGACCATGTCGTGAACGCCATCACGAAAGCTTCGCGTTGCAATGTCGAGCTATATGACTTGTGAATCAAGCAGCAGACACCGAAACTGGACGCAAAATGTAATGCAGCAACTGACCAGCTGGACCAGACGACATAGATTTTCAACCCCCAACTCCCCCCGTCCGTGATGTACTTGGCGGAGCAGGTACATACTCAGCGCTGGGAGCACGTCTGTTTTCCCCTCCGCCGTTGTCCCGCTCTGTTGGCTGGGTTGTAGACAAAGGCTCTGACTTTCCCAACAAACTCTCAACATTGATTGATAACTGGGACACTGGTGCAGTCATACGCGAGGATTACGACCGTCTCACAACCAGAGGATGGAATGGCTATGTCGGCCCAGCGGACAGGCGAGCCTTTAAGTATACCACACCCAAGAAGCGCATTACTTCGAAAGATCTCACACCCAATCTTTTATTTTCCAAGTCATTTCATCTGATTTGCTCCCCAACTCGCTGCCAGGAGCTCATAACCGACATCATGTCATGTCGCAAAGCGCTTGCCGCGCCGGAAGACTCGTACACCAAACCCATATTTGTCTGGGAACCTGTCCCTGATCTCTGTACGCCAGACGAACTACTCAACTGCACAAATACACTACGTCTTGTAGATATATGTAGCCCCAACCATGCTGAGTTGGCAGGCTTTATGGGTGATGACGGACTTGACCCCGAGACTGGTGAAGTGTCGACGCTAAGCGTGGAACGTGCCTGTGAACAGTTACTAGCCAGTATGCCGCTGCAGTCATATGCCCTTGTTGTCCGAGCCGGAGACAAAGGCTGCTACATCGCCAAAAATGGTGGCAGAAAGCGGAGATCAGGGCCTGGCAAGACCTTTAAATCACAAAAGGCACTGATACACGGTGCATTGCAGCCCGACACAGACATGGAAGCATTGTTTGCTGGACTCTTGCAAGATGACGATGGATTTATCGCACGTGAAGAGATTGAAGTTGACCCAGGATTGGAAAGATGGATTCCCGCCTACCACCAAGATGGCCGCAAGGTTGTTGACCCCACGGGAGGCGGCAATGCCTTCCTTGGGGGATTATCAGTGGCTCTGGCTCGCGGAGAAAAGCTGGAAAACGCAGTGGCCTGGGGTTCAGTCAGCGCGAGTTTCGCAATTGAGCAGGTTGGTATGCCATCGCTAGTTAGGAATGATGATGGTGTAGAGACATGGAACGGGGAGGAGGTACAGCAACGACTCCGGGAATTCCACCGACGACTCTAAAATATTCGTACAGAAAATAGATGTACCGACTCCTCACTTGGGGACTACATGCTTATTACACCAGAAAAATGGTGACCCAGCGTGTACTAGCTAGCATTCTTGTCTAAGGCTGCCCGTTTTGTAAACCTCTTATTGCAAGACCCAGCCAAGGGTGAAACACCCTGACGCCCACGTGAACCAGCGTGCCAATCTTCCATGTTCCCACCGTATCCTGAAATTTAAATCTTGTAAACCAGTTCACCATCCGCAAACCTAAGCGAAAGAATTCGTTAGTCCAGATCAAAATAGATGACGTACAATGTCCAGAATTCTGCAAGGCAAGAGAGCCACGGCTGTCGCCCAAAGAAGGTGTTTGGTGAAAGAACACAAATTCTAGAAATGGGACCACAAACATGATATGATTCGCCTCCTCCAATTTCTTGAGAGCTTTTACGGCTTCAGCCCGTTCAAACGCACCACCATCGCCGTTCGAAACCTTACGATTTACAGCGGAAACAACAGCATCCAGAGCCGCAGAATCGTCCTCGAACAAATCGGAATTCAGAAGCTGACCCAGCGCCGTTCTGAAAACTGCCACACGGCGGGCATCGATTGGTGCGGCATCATCGATCGCTAGCCCTGCAGCCTCAGTGGCGAGATCTTGCTCAATCTGACTGTCTTCCTGCGTCCGTGACAGCAATGCCGACGCCGACGCCGACGATGCAAATGATGTCTGTGACTGGGATGTATCAAGCGCTGACCCACCATTGCGTCCAGAGCGGCGCGGAGTTGTGTGCTGTGTTGATAGACTGTCTGCGACTGCGGCCTTACCATTATTTGACACAGATCTGTGACCATCACCATCAACAGCTCTGGAAACTTCTGTCCTGGATCGAGTTGTTGGATGTATAGCCCTTGTTGCGCTCCTTGTTGCGCGAGCTCCCCTAGAGTTGGCTGCTTCACCCTCGCTCTCATCCCCATCATCGGAGCTGTCTTCACTTGAAGATGCAAATTCAACAGCTTGCGTCCGTCTCCTTTTCTTCCTCGATTCATCTACGACAACCTCTTTGAAGAGGGCGAATCTGAGAATAGCATCCGCAGCCGCAGCATCTTGGTCTTCGACCCTGCTTGACAATCGGGCTTTAGCATGGGCAGTGGCAAGGCGGATAATTGTTTCCAGAGTTCGAACTGTCAGCGGACTTGTTCTCCTCTGGTTTCCCTCCATCTCGTCGTTTCGTAGACCAACGTATATTTCCGTTATACGGTCTGAAGCGTCCTGCGTTAAGATAGGCTTGATTCGAGTCTTCGCATATTGTATATACTTCTTCATGAACGAGATGCTCAGGATTTCCGGCTTTTTGGCTGAACCGCGACCAGACGTGCGGGTCACTCCAGCGTGAAGCATGGCGTCATATTTTTCATACACCTCTGTCGGCTGCTGCGGTCCTGCCTGGCCATCGGCCGAGACTCCCACGTTTTGTGACGTTTGCTCCCGAACGGGAGCTCCTTCCTCAGTGCCTGCTTGTCGATACCTATGCATCCGTAGCACATGTTCCGACACTTGACGGTCTCTTGTATCCTCAATGTCATCTGTTACCACAAAAAGAAGATCAAATCGCGATAACAACGAGTCAGGGAGTGCTATATTCTTGTGTGGATCCTTATGGGGATCATACTGACCGAATATGGGATTTGCAGCAGCGACAACCGAGCAACGAGCGTTTAGTGAAGTGTGAATTCCTGCCTTCGCAATAGTCACCGTTTGCTGTTCCATGACCTCATGAATGGCGACTCGATCAACGTCAGACATCTTGTCAAATTCGTCAATACAAACAACGCCGCGGTCAGCCATGACCATCGCGCCGGCTTCGAGTCTTCGTTCCCCTGTTTCCTTGTCTGTTGTGACGGCTGCAGTGAGACCGACGCCAGAAGACCCTCGGCCAGTAGTAGCAATTGCGAGCGGGGCAGTATTAAGGACAAACCGCAGTAGTTGAGATTTGGCTGTTGAAGGGTCGCCTATCATGAGAATGTTGATGTCACCTCGAAGATGGGTGCCGTTTTCAAGATTCTTTTCCATGCCACCCAACAGCATGAGAAGAATTGCTTTTTTTATATGGTCATGTCCATATATACTTGGAGCGAGAGACTGAGAGAGGAGTTCCAAGAGATTTCTCTTCTTAGCCACCTTATTGATGTTTCGAATGTCAGTGTCCGTTATGGCGGCTGTCGCAATGCCGCCACCTGATTTGGAGGACAAGAGCACAACGTTGTTGGCAAGAATCATTGTCTTGAAAAGCGCACTATTGTGGTTGGTATTTCGATTGCCTAGAGTGCGAAAGATGCCAACAATTTGAACCCGGTCACCTGGCTTAACTCGATCGACTAAATCGTCATCTAGAATGACATCAACTCCACGGGGCAGCTGTCCAGCCGGGGCACGCTCTGGCATCTCCTGAATGGAAATTGTCTGATGGTCCCGGTACGTGCAAAAACCGTACTCAGTTACGAGCGGGTTGCCTTCATCATCCTCTCGAGGGTATACACTTGAGGTAGTCACTCCGTTCGTCATTGTTTGATCCTGGTACTCCCTAAAATGAAATTTGCGCGCTTTCTCGTTGTAGTGGACACTGCGGACAACCTTTGGCCGGATTAAGGAGCACCTAGTGACAATGCCTTCCAGGGATACCATGTGATTAAGATGCTGCGAGGAGAGGGTTCGGGGATTGCACGAGTTGAGACCAAAGCTCCCAGCCCAGGCGCAGTAGTACACTGTATCTCTAGCGGACTGGTCTGGGCGCGCTTGAGGTATGGTCTCTACGATCTTCTTCAGGGCATAGTTGAAGGCCAAGAGGTAGTCGAAAGGTTGATCGAGTATGCTTTGAGCAAGCTTGTTGTTGTGATCGCGAACATGATCGAGGTTCACAGTTAGGCGACGCTGGTTCTTCTGGAGCATCAAAATGATGTCCGATCTGTAGCTCCGTGCATGAGGATCACCTGGGCGGCATCAGGTCAGCGGCGTAGAAGAAGGCTTCTGGAATTAGGGCAGGATTGTCAAATCAGGACATACTGGGATCTAGAAAGTCCTCCGCCTGGCGAATGCGATCGCGAACACCTTCGTCGTCGAGCATAAAGGAGTCCATCATGAAATGTTACCAGTTCCAGTAACAAATATAGGACGTCGATATATGAGTTTAGGGGTCATTTGAAACACTGGAATAGAGAGGTGTACATAGATGAGGCTGACAGGAAGTGGGACAGACGTCGACGCGTGACGCGTGCCAAGGGCGTTAAGTGGTCGCGTGTTAGGACGACACTAACCCAAATAAATGGGTGCTTGCCAAACTAACCTACCCTGGGTACTTAGTACTAGGTCCTACTAACTACTAGGAGGCGCATAGGGGTGTTTAGTGACTATCACCAACCTCGTTATCTACTAGGTATGACAAGACAGCTTATTAGGATACTATTAGAATTTTTATATTTTGCAGACTTTTAGCAGCTTGTGATAATTTAGGACCTGTCTTATTTATAGCTGTACTGCTACTAGAACTAGGGGCCGTGCGCGTATAGGTAGGTACTGGTAGGTGACATATAGCACGTGACTAATATGAGAACGTGCGTACCTCCAGGTCTTGCCGTTGGCTAACAGGTGGGATGAAGCTGTGGCACTAACATCGTGGCAATCATAGTTTGGATTGGATTCTTTGGTGGAGGATCAGACGAAACACGAGACTCAGTTGAGTACACCTTGTTATATTACTCTGTATACTCGCCGGATGGTACCAACACTACATCAAGCGATCGTGATACGGTGAATTGAGTCGATTTTGAAGAATACCCTCCACAACCTCCCGCTGCACACTCTCGTAGCAGATATCCATTACAGGTCAACTGGTACTCATGGGGAGGCATGGTATCTAGCTGTGGAGTCAATTTCAAGGATTATTCGCATTGCAGGATATCAGAGCGAGAAGCAAGTTGTTGTGCCGTTGACTGGGACACTTTATTATTTAAGCAGGCAACATTCAATGCCAATCATGCTATCCTTCTGTTTCGTGAATACAACCTTCTATCAATCCGGGCTATGCGTATTTTCGGCCCAAGATGGCCGAACTCCTCGACATACAGACTCGTAGTCCTGCAGGGCTGGGTGCCGGTTTCCAAGGCCAATTGTCGTCCAGAACATTGTCCAGTGCGAATCCGAAAGCTTACATGTCCCTGTAGACCGTTCAAAATACCATTTATTGACAGGGTTATTTTTTCGACTTCTCCAACAAACACCACTCGGAAAGCAATCCTGCACCATGGAATTGAAGACAATGTCAGCAACTCCACTGCTACCTTGCCGGTTTTTCAAAACCGCAAACTTGTCCAAGTATGGGACAAATCGACCAGAATCATACGCAGTTTGCTCGTCAAGAGTCTCGGGGTATTCCCAAGTCAGAATGGCGCAGCCCTCATACTCGCCCGCAATGATAATGCCGGCCAGGTTCTCATTCACGCGTTTCAAGTAGTGTTGTGCGTCAAGTTTTCGGTTAAAGGAGTCTTCGATCAGGTGAAAAAGTCGAGGGAGGTCTATGCAGTTGTCCGTGAGGCGGAGACGAGGCAACCCGGGGTTTGGGGGTTGCCATTGATGAACCTTTGGATCCGGATATACTGTTACTGGCATTCCCCGCTTGACCAATGTTGCAGACCCTGATTCCGTATTTTGTAGATATCTACGCGTCTCATCTTGAATTCGCTGTAGAGGAAGCGACGGAGAGAAAGCGGGACGGTCTGTCAGCAAGTTGTGCAGTAATGGGTTCTTTTGGTTTCGGGTTGTGACCATATTATCAAAACCAAAAGGTGGGTGCCCCAGCGCGCGGATGGGCAGTTTTAATGTGATACCGGCCCTAGTATTGGCAGCCGCATGAGGCGAAGTAATAAGGGCTGATGAAGTCGGCGGTAGCAATGAAAGAGCGTCTTTTGCCAGGCTCAAATTTGCGATGTGACTTTGAACATTCGCAATGCGCGTTGTGCGTTCGCCGGTCTTCAGACTACCAATCAAGTCTCCATACTCTTGCTCAAGGTTTATGAACCTATGTGAAACGTCGGGCCGGAGAGCCATGGGAGTTCCACCGACAGGGTCCAGGAGAATTATTCGCTCAACAGACGCAATCCTTTTTGGCCGTAAATACTCTGTTGCTTCGTCTATTGACTCGCCGTTCATACCATCTAGCTGTAGCCCCGTTAGAAATTTGGCTAAAGCAATCGTTGTTTCGTTCGCCTCTGCAGGTGTCGGTGAAGATATCTCATCTTGTCTACTTAAAGATGGAACCACAACAATCATGCCGCGTTGTAGCGCTCGATTAAGCAAACCCAGGTCCTCAACACGCATCCCACAGCAGAATTTAGTCACTACGGATGGGTTGTCGTTTGTTTGTCGTCTCAAAAACACATGGTCGGCTAATTTAGCACCTGGACTGCCAAACGAGTCAATCGCCTCACAAAGCCGTAAAGCTTCGTCGTCAAATGTTTTGCGATCAGCTGCAATGCCACAGTCCACAACCACAAGAGCCAGCAAGCCAAGCACTCGAAGTTGTGACAAAGTTCTTGCAATGCCATAGAGAGCGGCTGATGATAGTTCTTGGGGTAATCGCAGTTTGACAATAGCAACATTGACAGGCTCAAGGCCATCTCCTTTCGCCGTGACCGCCTCACTGTCCTTCGCACTGGCCCTGTAAAGTTCTGAAGAAATAGGCTGCTTTGAGGCATATTTCTGAAGGTAGCCTTTTGCATCTCGCCGCGTTGCTGAAGCCTCGAGCACGGAGACAATAACATCCTGATACGAACTTGTTAGCACGGGACCAGATGTCTCTATCACAAAGGGAGGAGCCCTCACTCTGTCTAGAGTTTGTTTCTTTGCTCGGGACGCAGACGGACTTGATAGCTGACGAATAGAGTCACTTTGCCGGCATCTATAAGTGGTGCTTGGCATCATGCTTAGAAGAGTCGCAGCACCGCATCGGCATCGTTGATGCTGCCAGACGCGGAGTTGATTAAATGAATACATCTTCAGTACCGTAGGGACCCCACGGCTACTGGTAGAGATGCTGTTTCCAAGACAACCCCAAGTCATGACGCGAAAAAAGAGTTACTCGCATCGCAAGATAGAGCACTAGCAGGACACAGAGTCTCGTGGGTAGTTGTTGTCTGGCAGGGTCTGCTAAGGAGGATTTGGGGGAGGTCCGCAAGAGGCGGGCGGAGAAGGTCAACTGGTCACGTCTAAGGTGTGTTGCACTCTTTGCAGAAGCGGCGAGGTCTCTTTATTCCCTCAGCTTTTCACACCGCCGTCATGGCCCATAGTTGGGAGAAGCCAATAATACCAGCGAGTGGGCAGTACGTGGTGTACAGAGAACGGAGTACACGAATAGCTGTAGACTGTGGGCAGTGGCTGAGTGTAAGTGACTCAACATTTGAAGGTGTTTGAGCTGACTTCAGGAGGGTTGGCCGGTTGCTAGGGACGTGCGATATGAGGAGCTCCAGGTACCTACCTAGGTACATTTGACCAGAGCGTCTGTGGGGCGGGGTACACTGACCCGTCATCGTGTCACTCGTCAACTGTTAAGCTCCCGCCATTTTCACTCCGTACGTAACTAGCACTAATGATCAATTTGGTCAACCAGCACCAACAAGCAAGCACGGCCGGCGTTAGTGAACTAGCGCGCGTGGCCGGTCCCCTTCCCTTGCATCGTATATCGCAGAAGCTCTCGATTCTTACTCCGGCCTTGTTCTACCTTTTTCTTCAGTTGTGCGTTATCAACACTGACTATGGCGGTGGGTCTCTTGACCATGGCCCATCACACACTCGATGAAGAGGCGAGAGCTGAGGTCGATGTCCTAAACTCTCGCCTGGAAAAGACCACGCAGCTCACCAAGAAGATTCAAGCCAGCCTCAGCCGCCTGGAGGTATCTGGCCAGAGTGTCCGCGATGTTGCTGGTCCGCTTAGTAACGAAACCAGACGTTTACAGCTACTTGGAAACAGTATGGTCCGACTTATTGATATTCTGTTGCATCATGCACTAAGTTGAAGCAGATGTTGACTCTGTTCTCTCCGCCATCGATCGACTGCGCCAACCTGCCGATAGTAAAGACAACGAAGAGCAGATTATCCGCGCCGGGCCAGATAAGGCCGGGTTATCAAGTTACCTTGCCTCGTTGAAGAGGCTCAATAAGTCGCACAGAGATATGCAAGCATCCAACTTAAGAGCGAACCAGCACACAATGACTGATCTTACGCGGCTCATAAAGTCAGGCAACTCACAACTGGAGAGCTACTTTGACAAGCTTCTACGAGGTGAAACGCCTAGATCCATCGAACCTCTACATTACATTACAAAAGATAAACCATTCCCAGTTTTACCCCAAGACAAGATTGCTCGACTGGGCCTCATCTATGCCTACTTGGCTGGCGGCCAGAGGCCTGTCGGTCACGACTCTCCAGCGTCGAAGATATATGCCGAGGTTCGTGGCCCGTATTTATCGTCATCTCTTGCCAACCTGGCCGCTGCGAGTGTGAATACCGCCAAGAAAAAGAATCCCGGCGCAATATATAGGGTGGGAACCAATGGCATTGGGACGTATGCCCAGGCTATGGAAGCCATTTTCCTATCGGAGTATGACAATATTTGTAGTATATTCAAGCGCGAAGACTGGGGACCGGTATTCCAAGGCACTTGCCAGGCAGCATTGTCCGAGCTTGCGCGTACTGTCCGAGAACTCAATGCTCACATCAAAGGCCACCTCGGCACTGACTGCTATTTGGCATACGAAATAACTGAAATTCTCTCGGGCCTTCTAGGGAATTTAGAGACAAGGACGGGGGAACTCAAGGCTTCTCTGGCTGCTGCGCTAAAACCCGTACGGGAAACCGCCAAGGCGTCGCTTTCCGAGCTGTTGGAGGATACCAAAAGAAAGGCTGGCGGCTTGCAGACACTGCCTTCTGATGGCTCTTCCATACCCCTCGTGGCAGATACGATGCAGCGGCTGCAGGCCATGGTGGAGTTTCTTCGTCCAATCTCTAGTATCATGATCTCTATTGGCGATGGGGGCTGGAAGTCGAGTTCTGTGTCTGCTGGCCGATCCGCAGATGTCATCCCGAGCCTCGCATCCTTTGATATCGGTGCGGATGGAAGGGAGATTTTTGGGCATTATTGTCTGGACACAATCGATACGCTTTTGTCTACGTTAGACCAGAAAGCAAAAATTTTGCTTCGTGGTAAATCTGTCGCGGGGGTGTTCCTGGCCAACAGCGTTGTAACAGTTGAGCGGATGATACGAGATTCAGATCTCGGGCCTCTTTTACAGTCACGGCTCGAAGTGCTGGACCAGTGGCGCAAAAAGGCAACGGCGGCATATACGGATGTTTGCAGAGATTTGTCTGTCTATCTCTTCGACACAATTCACACCAATCGCACCCAGCGACCCACGTCTGGCCAGGCAGCAGATTCAGCCTCGGTTATCAAAAGCCTCAGTAGCAAAGATAAGGACAAAATCAAGGAGAAGTTCTCTCAGTTTAATGCTGCATTCGACGAAATGGTTGCCAAGCACAAATCTTACAACATGGATCCTGACGTGCGGTCCATGTTCGGCAAGGATATCCGTCAGAAGCTGCAACCACTGTATGACAGGTTTTGGGACCGATATCATGATATTGACAAGGGCAAAGGGAAGTATGTAAAGTACGACAAGTCATCCATTGCATCCGTTTTTCTTAGTCTTGCCTCTTGACAAGTGCCTGATGAGATATGGAAATTAATTTTGGTTCTCATCTCTTGGTTGTACGGCTTGAAAAGGGGAAAGTGTGCATGCTCGCTTGTATGCCCAGACAGCACAACCCTTGTCAAGGTGACGAATAGATTCCCAAGGGCGGTGAAGGCGACTCTCTTGGCTGACAGGGAAAACGGTCATCTTGGAATCACATTGCGTATTTCTTGTAGCGGTACCTTCTCTCACCCATTTCGCGTTGCGATTCTGTAGTTGTAGTTTTGCAGCATTTACTGTTATCTGCTCAAGTGCATGAGTCTCGGATAAGTCAAGTTCTATTCCTTCGGTAGCAGGCATAGTCGCGGACTTGAATTCCTATAATATCTCTTGGACAAAAAATAGTGTCGTGCTTATTCGTCGGACAAATCCGCTGGGAAGACTTTACAATCAATGACAGAACTTTCGAGCTGTCTCTGATACGCAGGGTAAGCAAGGCGTGTGTTCTTTGTGCGTGACTGCAGGACAATAAATAGAAAGCGATCAAACAATAGGCTGACTGGTCTTAGTAGATACCCAAACCCTAAAGCCTCACATCTGCACAAGTGTATAAACTGGTCGATAAGGGAACGCGATTTGACACATTGGTGGGACCTTGATAACGCTCTGTCCCTTCCTGCCTAACATCAGTATCTGTATGAATGTTTTACACAATCATAAGGGTTCATGTGGCGTTTCATTTGGTCAGCCTCCCAAAGACTGACAAAGGTGATGTCTTCTTCAGTTCGTCAAATGCCACTAAACTTGGCACCGGATATCAGTATCTCTACTGGCTCCAACTGAGCTAAAGACAGCCTCTTACATTACACACCACTGCCAAATATGTGATCAATCCTCGTCCTTCTTTCCCAGATAAGAAAGCCGTCCGTCTTTCTTTTAGAATATAGAATGCGATCTGAGGGATGAATTCCTCGTCGGTTTGCTCGCTTTTCCATTGTTCCAAGGCCTTCTCCTTAGCTCCCGTGAATCTGTCCTCATAGCCAACCAAATAGTTACTGGCGTCCATTGCAGGGTCCTAGCGTAGGCGATTCATAACATCTGCTGCAGTCCGAAGCTTGCCTGATCCACCTGCTTTGAGAACCGACGGTGATACGTTGCGCCATGCGGGGTCCGAACTCGGCGGTGCTAGGAATATTGTAGTTCCAGCCTCCGGCTCTTCTTTACCATCATCAGACTCGTTATCGTCAAGTTCCGAATCCTCTCCAGAGTCTGCGTATCCCGCATTGTCGTCCTTCCACGGTTGGAGGTCTAGCTGGAACTGCCGTACGCCGTGGGCATCAACCAAAGATGTCATTATCCAGCAAGAGCAAGGATCGAAGTATTTCTAATCGCAACGTAGGCGATTCTCAAAGCACCTGAGAATATAACTGAGTGACTGCTCTGCGTGTTGATTGTCCTCCTTGGTTTTGTTCTCAGTGTCGCCATGCTGCCATGACAAGCCGATCAGATAGCTATAGTTGAACTCTTCATTTCTAATATCAGCAGTGCTATGTGAGGCCTTCAGAGTGAATCTTGCGGGCCAAATGCGAGCCAAGAGATCTGGAAGCTTCCTGCTCATGTCTGTTCCGTGATGGAATAGTTAGCATCTGAAGAGGATAGAGTAGCTGGCAGCAGCCTAGGCAGAACAACTCACCAACTAGGACCATGAGACACCGAGATTCTAACCAGCCAACAAACCTCTTGCCTTTTCTAGGAGAGCAGCCCAAATAGCTCGCATTCATCTTGATATAGCACTTGTGTGAGTCCAAAAAGCCCGCTGCATTACAAGCTGTAAGCTCAGGGAATGGCAACAGCGATTGCGTTCCGCGCAGGAACGTATCCCAGTTGACCCCTTCCTGCGACAAGAGATCACTGGCTCGCATTATTTCTGCAGAAAGTATGTGAATAGTAGAAGCTGTAGCATTGAGCGCTGTATTTCGAGAGGGCGTGTGCCAGCCCAGTAGACACATGGATTCTCGCTGTGTGCGGTGGTATTTGACAGTACCGTGGAACAACGGATCGAGGACCATGTTCGTCTTCCAGTCAAAATTTCGGTAGTGATGGAAAAATGTGGTCAAGATGTCGGTGGTTCCTGCGCTTGGCCCATCATATGCCAGTAGTTTGCAGATGGGCACGAGCATCACAGATATGTTAAGACTTCCAAGAAGACCAAGTTTTGAGGAATATAACCCTCGGGACTTGGCCCATGCCTTGAGAAGTAGGTGAGCAATTCCATATTTTGCCATGTCAGGAATGGTGGTTCTCTTCAAATAGGCGAGATCCCCTCGCTGGTTTCAGCTTAGATAATGTTTGAGTAGGTAAGTTGAACGCCGGCTCAGCGGATGGGTGGTTCATGATATCAGGATACCTATCACATGTTAGCAGATCGTGCCCGGGCTATGAGTGGGAGTTTCTGCAAGCAAACTATGCTCACTTTTCAGCAACCAGAACGGCAGCACAATACTGAAGATCAAATTTATCGCCAAGACACTAAGTTCAAGCATAGTGCCTGTCTTGGCACGGACTATTCGGAGGATGCTGATACCCCTGCTTCTAGATTTTCTGAGTCTTGATATAGCAAGGGCGAAAAACATCTTTGAGCTTACGTTCCCTACACACAAACAGTCCACATCAGACTCTGGAGACATATCAGGGCCATTTCGCAGCTGATGGCTGGTATGATTTTTGTCAGTCTCGCACAAGACACTTTGTACGAGCTGGAACGCTCTGCTTCGATCCTCCTCGTTTGCTTGAGTTGGCAAGCAGCCAAGACTCATCAAAGAGTCTTTCAAGCTTCCGATATTGCCTAGGGACGATGGAGCTTTGCGAAGCTTGTCGGTACCAAATTCCTAGCATTTTGGGAGGCAAAATTCTCATTCCTTTCCAAGTACTTGAAGAGACACCGGATGCCCCAGTGGTCGCTGGCTACGAATTGTCCAGCCCCAGTATCGCATACTGGCCACCCGAATGTGTTGAACCCGCAGGCTGTCAAAGAAAGGGCACCGTTGAACAAAATCCTGTCATATTGTGCGGCCCGTTGTTGAGACCTCCTGCCACTGCCTTTGCCGCCAAGGGGTTTCTTTTAGGGCCAAAGGTAGCTCCCTGGTCGCCTTCGAATAGTTCAGGCTGACCAGGCTGACCAGGCGGCCCATGTGTGGCAAATCGGTATCTAGCACATATACCCTGATGCTGAAGGCAGATACGGAAGGAAATGGTCCGTGACCTCCTGAAGGACTAATACATCAGCTGCAGCATATTCGGACAATATGGTAGATATGAGCTCCTGGTATCTGCTTGTAACGGGTGGCCATTCGAACTCGGCGAGAACGTTATAAGATGCAACAATCAATTGCCTGACCGAATCTGGCGGTGGCGTTGAGGGAAGAGCAGTCTGCCAGGAGAGCTCTCTAGTCGACGAGCTAAACTCAAATGTCGTCTGACTTTGTGTGTCCTGGCGGCTTGAATCGAGTTGAAAGCCCGGCAGGGATGGGAAGTGCTGGCGTTGTTGACTTTGAATGTCTATATAGCCCCAAAGACGCATGGACCGCGATGAATTTACTGGAGTTAAGAGGCGCGCCTTATTAAGTAGGAAGTTGTGCGAGTCAGACTCGGCATCCTCAGTCTGCCCGACAGTCACGTGCGGCTGATAGTTGTCTAGAACTGACCACCCGATTTGTTGGCGAAGGCCATTCACAATTTATAGGCGAAAGTTGATGGTTCATGTTGGGCTGGCCTGAGTATGAGTGTGTTGTCATTTCGGTGTGTAAAGTAATGGTGCCAAAGCTGCCAAATTTATCTGGTCGACGGCATCGGGAAGGACCTCTGGCCCGACGAACGGATAAACCCAAATTGACGTGTGGCGGCCATGTTTCATATGCTTTGTCGTAAACTCAACGTCTGCATTATTAGGACTTCTCGCTACCGCCCACGAAAGCCGCATTGCTCGCTACATGAGTCATCTGACTAGGCACGCTTCCATCGCCGAGTTATTAACAAAATGATTGTTGTTGAGTCACCGGCCAGGTAGGTAGGTACCTGCCTGAATGAGGCGGAGTTAACAGTGTGAATGATCCTTGCCCCACCAACCGTGACCTCTCCGCTGACTCAGTTATTCCCCCCCGACCCCATGTCACAGGGAGTCAACTTATACCAAGCAAGAGTCAGGTATAACCAAGATAACAAGAAACTCTCTATACATTACGCAAACCTATGTATTGCCTGCCTGCTGCATTGCGCACCACCTCATTAGAATAGTAATGCCATACATGCGCCATGTATGCCCTCCAATACATACAGCTCTCTTGCCATCTCTCTCTCTCTCAAGATGTCCCGTACTGATCAGGACCCCAATCAACAGACTCGGTCTGGTTGCCTTTGCCTTCCATGACTGCTTCTAGCTTGTCTTCAACCGTGACCCAGCCCTGCCGCTTTTGTGAGATGGCATATCGAATAGGGTCTTTCCATTCTTTCCACCACACTTCCTCGCTCTGAACGATGCACCTTCGCCCAGGTTCACCATTCTTCGTCGTCGCAAATGGCCACACTGACTTGATCACCTCATATTTATTCTTACCTGAAAACAGACTTGTGACGTTGGTGAAGAACTGGTTCACCCTGTCGGGATTTTGTACCAACACGCGGCTGTGAGTGACGAGGAAAGTCACGTCAACGGCACCTCGATATTTGAGAGTTGCAATGAGACTCCGTAGCTGACCTTCTATCCAGCCCACATCAAGATTTGCAATAACACGATCCAGAGAAAATGTTTTCACTGTAGCTGTGTCCTGGACAAATCGTCGACACCATTCTTCCAGCTCACCTTCACCAACTTCTGGAAGCACATCCGGTCGAACTCCTCCACGATGTGCCAATTCGCCTTGCCCAACGCAGCGAATATAGTCCATGCGCAGCCTCTCGTCATCAGGTACTAACAGGGTCATGAGGTTGAGCTTAATGTCAAAATCAATCCGGCGACCACGACTGCCCCGAACATGAATCTGAGGCTTGGGGGGTACCGTTGATTGTGCACGAATCAATGACACAAGTGCCGCAGCGTTTGAAGACAAATATTCCGCCTTTGAGGACAAGGTGATCGAGTCACTTGAAAGCTTAAATAAGGGAGGCGAATAAAGCTTATAGTCCAGTTTAGGCAGGCCTGGGTATCGAGGTATACCTTTCAAAGGCTCCGTCGGAATCGGCGGCGTTAGTGTCTGAGAAGGGGCCTCATCGTTTGCCGCATCAGGTGATCCAACGTCGGCTGGAGGAGTGCGTTTCTCCATGGTCCTTTAAAAAAGGAGATGTTAGATCTGGATTTGGATTTGGAGACGCGATCACACTTCACAATACGTGAAGCCTCGGCGAAGGTGTAAGCAAAGCTGCGTTGATCCGCAAAAATACGTACAGACCTCCACCCCCCTCTTGCGTCTTTTGCCTTAAAAGCTTTTTCTTCTTACGTAGAATCATTTTACTGCTTGGATTTTTTCTAGCATCTCTTATAAATAAATTTTAGGGCGATAATCTTTTTTTTTAGAGGTTGGGACGGCTTTTTCTAGTGGAAAAAAAAAAAAAAAAACCTCCAGGCCGCTTTTCTAACTGGTAAAAAAAACACGATGTCTTCTAAAAAATGAATAATTAAATATAAACATGCCCAGCTAAATAAAAAATAGTATTAATCGTTGATTCAGTTAGTTAACCTCAGATTAAAATCTTTCATGAGAGACTTTTTTTATCCTTTTTTATTTTTTTTTATTTTTTTTATTTTTTTAATTTTTTTTTGCTTTTTCACGTATTCAGAAAATAATAGAGCACACACACACACACGTGCATACACATACGATTTTTTTTTTTTACATACGATTTTTTTTTTTTAAAAAAAAATCGTGCTAGCACAGAAGATGCGTCATATTAACATCCTGCTTTTTAAAAAATCTCAAAGAAGAAAATAAATAATAATAATAAAAACCCGCTGAAGTTGCAAACCCAGAGATAGGCTGAAATGCGTTCCGTGTGTTGTTGTTTTATGTTTGGGTTTGTGAGGGCGGTCAACCCCCCACCCAAGAAGCTTAAGCTAGTTGCATACCTCTCATGGTTCTTCAAATCGTCATGTCTTCTTCGTGCACAGGCGCTGTATTATGGCAACTATGACTACGAATAGTGTACTAGTCGGGTGCCTGGTTGACAGAATTGCGTCGCGGGTAAGAAACAGTAGTATCACGATGCAACCAAGAAAAGCGCTGACCTGGTGGCACCTGCTTCTAGTTGCCACATCATACTGGCTCGACCGTCCATACGATCTGTGAAGATGATATACTTAAGATATCGAGAGCCACTTTGGTAGATTTGAGTAGGAATGCAATCAATGTCGTCATTGAATCACTCCTAGGGCTCCTTGAAGATCTGGCGCGGCCATTTCCATGTGTGGCTGCTCACCCATCACATATTCTACAATCAGAGCTTTATATTCTGTCACTTGCTGCTGACAGCTGTACTGCAAACTGGGATGGGAAGAAAAGTTCGACCGATCCGAATAGTCGCCTTGAGAAGAATCTAGTTAGCCGAATATTCGATGCATTGACACAACTTCTGGAGCCTATCCCGGACGATTATATATTACCTGCTCAAACACTCCTGGATCAAGTGTCGGAGCGTAACTTTTGTGTGCCTCGATCTGATGGAAACACTGCACAGAACGCCAGCAAGCAGATAATAGAGGCTGACTGTCTACCCGAATGTCTGGTAGAATTCGATGCTCACATCAAAGTGATCGTCGAATATGTGTCGGCGTCGAGCTGGCCTGTTGCGCTTGATTATGTCAGGAATACTATATACAATGTCCGAACAACAGTATTCCCCGAAGGTAGTTTAGCGAATCAGGGCCATACTCAAGATGTTGATGCTCCAGCTCTTGTGACGTTGAGGCTGCTATCCTTCTTCTGGATTGACAGCGCTAAGTTGGGGCACATCGTTCAAGAAATATGCTCCAGCTACTTGCACTTTCGCAAATCCTGTCAGTGTACAATAGCTGTTGTTCTGCCGCTCCTCGTCACTCGTTGGATTGATAGAAGCCCTGATGAATTCGTTCGATTACACTCACGGCAAAGGAGATTAGATGGTGGTGGCGACACTCTGTTCGACATGACACAGACAGGAATAGACCAAGGTCGTCGAAGAGCAGTCTTATACCCGCTGCAGATGACCCTCCTATTGTTGCTTCCTGACGTTTTTGAGGTAGCAAGCAACTTGAGGGAAGCGAAAAGTAATAACCTGATCAAGAAGGTGTCCTTTTTGGACAGCCTCAGAAAGGCCCTTCGGAATGGGAATGAACGAGCAGCGTACTGCCTAGTAAGCCTTCTTCGAGCAGCTAGACATTTTGAGGCTGAGAGCGATTCTGCCTTGGTCAGTTACGCCATGGATGTGCAAGATGAAATCCGAGAATCCGTGTTCAGCCTTTCCCAGACCAACATTGCAATACCACAGTTTGACCAAGATATGATCACAGGAGCTTTTGTTAGTCTCGCTCATCTTGGATTGGACGGTAGCGTTGAGACGCTGACGAAAGCATGTATTTCTTCATCTGCGCCGGACTCTTTCAAGATCGCCGTCATTCAAGCATGTTCATATTTTGCGCGACAGTCTGAAACGACCAAGTATTCAGCACTCCAGACACGTGTTCTTGCTCTTATCCAATCTGAGTTCGAGGTATGATAAAAACAGGTGGTTCAATATTTGAATAACAAAAAGTACTAATCAAGAATTGCAGTCCGAGTATATGAACTCCTTCAAAGCAAGACGTGAGCTGTCACAGGATGGCAACCGTAAGGTTTTGGAAATCCTTCGGTATCTCTATGCCTCCCCTGGCCCTCTACTTCGGGATTTGTCTGGTGAGACTGCAGATATGGCATTCCTCAAGCCATTCTTATTTTGCGTCCTTTCTCGGGACCAATCCATTCGTCAGCTAGCCACAAAGGTTGCGAATAAGCTCTTCATTATGAACAAAGACTCGGTGGGCACCTCTCAACTTGGACATCGTGATGCAACTGAAGAACTGGGAGAAAACCTCTGGATTCGAAGGTGAGCAGAGCACTGAAATCATCCACAGCCCTGGGGGAGCCGTAACTATTGTTCGATGATGCTGAATAGTGACGCAGTTCGTCAATCCTTCTTGAGCTATGCGGAGAAATCGAAAAGGACATTAGCCTTTCCACCATAACGCAACTTCGGGAGTTTTTAGGCGCAAGGTCGGCGCTTCTTAAAGGCATGCCAGTTCGTCACCGCACCTCCCTGCTTTCCACAACAGAATGAAGTTGACATTTCTCTTAGATTTTATCCCATCTTCCCATGAACGTGCCGGACATTCATCTGGCGGCGTCGAAACTGGAAACAACTTTGTTGATATCCATATGTTCTCCAAATATTGCCGTGTGTCAACTGGCTACTGTCTGTATCGGCCTCTTGGTGGACGAATGTACGCATGTCGGTGAATATACTGACTCTGCAAAGCTGCTTTCTTCAACTTATCGCAACCAACTCGTTTATCAGGAACTTTCCTCACCAGCTTTCCATTTTACCGGTCTTGTCGCCTTTCAGAAGAGAATGCGGGGATTTCTAAGACAAATTCGACTGCCAACGCAAGGCATCATGGACGCTTGGGAAACTGCCTTCGACCACTGGATTCACCTGTCCAAAGAGGTTTCTCTGGCTACGGCAGACGGTGTAGACGATAGAATGCTATCAGAGTGGCGAAATCTATCGGGCTTTTTGGCATCCTTGGGCGGCATATGCACCTATGGATACGCCAGCAAATTGGATGAGGCAATCGGAGACTTGAATTGGATTGATCGGGTATCCTTCGAACATCATGAAGAGCCTCTCTTGTCAAGGTTTCTGAGACTCAGCATCCAGCTTCTGGGTTGCAACAACATCAAAGTGCGTGAGGCAATGCGAGAGGTCTTATCCACCGAGGTTTCTTCGATTCTCTACGCGCCGCTGTTTAAGGCTCTGGAATCAGAACTGGAAGTTTTGCTAGCCGGAGTTCTCGCATCCCCTGATCAAGGCCAGGAGAATGAAGTGATATTTGCCGAACAAGCTGCGTCTTTGCTCAAGATCATGGTTGAGAAGCTCGAAAGTCCATCTGACTTGGGTTCTATTTCATCAGTCCACCTCGGAGTTCTTACGTTGAGTTTTGCAAAATTCTTGGATGGTGCATTGGATGGAGTGGCAACGCTGCGTGTCAAAGTCAAGATTTGTCATTTGTGCGAAGCAGTCACAAAACGCAAGGAACACCTCAACTTGCGAGACGACATTCGCATTAGAAACCAGCTGCTAGAATATATATTTGGTTGGATAGCTCGGCCGCATTCTCTGAAACAAGAACAATTGGGCAATGGCCCTAGACAGGATGAATTTCGGCGTGTACAAAAGGACCTCGACAAGGCTTGCCTCAGGACTCTCGGTGATCTCACATTTCGCCTTCCGCTGCAGCCAGCTGATAGCCAATCGGATGCTGGGATGAGTGAACTCAAGTCGCAAATGTTTCATACTTATTTCAACCGTTTCTTGTCGCTTCTCAACTACGAGACGCAGGAAATGAGCAGACAAGAACTGCCCCTCATGGGTAATCGCGATGAAGGCCTCTCGAATGCTGATTTGGTTATCACTATTCTTTCCAATTTGCTCAGTGCGAACATTGATGTTGGCTTGAAGCACTCTCTAAATATCGGCTATCATGAAAACGTTGATATACGCGCTGCATTTGTCCGTGTGCTATGTAACATTCTTACGCAAGGAACGGAATTCAGCTCGTTGACTGATGCAGCTGTCAGTGATAAATATGTTGAACTATTAAATGTAGGTCCAATGATCAATGGTTACCCTATCAGGCCTTTTCACAGTATGCAAGCTCACATTTTATCATAAGTTGCTAACAACCGATCTGTCGCTCTCGGTATCAATGAGTGCTATTTGCCCAGCCTCGGAAGTTGACGAACTCACAATATGCCTCCTTACCGTCTTTGAACAACGCGGGCTTACTTTCGAATTATTCGAGGCTCTGATTCGCCAAGAAGTAGAGCAAACAGGTTCATTTCACCCCTCGAGTTGCAGCAAACGGGCCCAACTTCAGCTGACCCCGACACAGAAAACGAAACCGAAATTTTGCGGAGAACTTGCGTCGCTACAAAGATGCTATCTGTATATGCGAAATGGAAAGGAGCATCATATTTAAGAACGACGTTGCAAAAGGTCCTCGAGAGGCTCATGCTGACGTCGAACGACCTAGACTTGGAACTAGACCCAGCCAGGGTGAGCACTCCCGGCGAGTTGCAAAAGAATGCTGCGCAACTTCAGATCGTGGCCAAGGTGTTTATGGACGACATATGCGCTTCAACATCAAATGTTCCAAGCTCATTTCGAAGGATATGCAGCATCGTGAGTAATGACCTCTTGAAGGCTAGTAACACAACAATGACTCATGCCGGCTTGTAGATATCTGATGCTGTTCTTCCTCGCTTTCCCAATGCAAAGTATACTGCCGTGGGAGCTTTTGTATTCCTCCGCTTTTTCTGTCCTGCCATTGTGGCACCCGAAGCTGAAGGCCTCGTTTCAGTGGCACCGACGAAGGAAATGAGACGGGGACTGTTACTAATCGCAAAAATAATCCAAAACCTAGCCAATAACGTTCTTTTCGGAACTAAAGAACCTTACATGTTCCCCTTAAACCCCTTCCTTGTCCAGAACATACATTTGGTCACTGGGTTCCTGCGGGACATCTCCGTAAGAGAATTATAGCTTGTCTTGCGATAAATACCCTATGTGTCAATTTTGCTAACATTTTTGTAGGTGCCCTCGAGGCAGGTTGATGCAGCTCGCCCCACGATTGACGTATTTGACTTCGGCTCATGCGTGTCACTGCACCGATTTCTGTATGATCACTGGGATCATTTGCGTCAGACACTTGTTGCAAGAGAAAGAAAAGAACATCTGCGAACTCCGGAAGAGATTGCCCGGACACCACCGTCAGTCTTTGAGCCACTTCGGGGTCTCATCAGCAATCTCGGGCCGCCGCCCCTTGCAATCTCTTGGAACAGGCCTCAGATATCCTGCAATACGCCGCCTTTGTACTCAAGGTTTCAAAACTTCATGTTACGAAATGCCTTTAGAAGTGCGGAGTCTTTTTTGACTGCTCGTGCCGTGTATGACGGCGGTGAAAGCAAGGTATTCACTGTCCTCTCCAATTCCTAGAGCTTCTTCTGCTCATCAGTGGTTTAGGACGGTCTTTCCACAGTGTGCGTTATACTACGGCATATCGAAAACGAAAGCATCGATTATGATACACTTTTGTACTGTTTTCTAAAAGTAAGTCTTTTCTATTGCTTCATATCAGAGAAGCTCATCATGCATGTTACGCCACGGGCATCACTATGCTAATATCAATCCTAGATAGCCAGCCGGCTCTGGCACGAACCATTTGGGCTGTTCATTGATGCAACGTGTTATAATGGACGGAGCGAGCCTTCCGATGAGTTTTTTTCAAAGCTAGGTCTTCTAACACCTTCCGAGCTGTCTCGAAACTTTTCCCGGATATATATATACAACATGAATAGCGCTTTCAAGTAAGTATGCCTTTACCAATCCACTTTACAGTCAGTTTCCAAATCTTATCCATTGTAGGAGGTGTCTCCGGCGACTCCTTCGCAACTCTACTCGCGACGATTCGAGTGTCTTTCATCCTGATAATGTAGAATACTACTTGTTTGGAAGTTTACAGGATCTGCAGGTCCATTTCCATTTGGGTAAACTCCGTCTTCCCAAAGAAACTATAAGCGTGGTTAGAGAAACTCGATTCGTGTTTCAAACCATCACAAGATTATCAAAGTCCAAAGGGAAAGTTGAGGTCGTGATCAAAGTTGGCAGCCAATTTCTTCAAATAACTACCGTTAAGAAGCAAGAAGTATTATCTGGTCTCCGCCTTAGCAGTGTCATCAATGACATTTTCCGTCTAAGTGACATAGAAGAAGCCTCAACCCCACAAGCGGAGGACGATTCTAACTTTGGACTAAGAGCTGATGGGGGTAAGATTGTCATGTTCTTTACCAGCTCCAATGGGGCGGACATTCTTCAGACTATCCGTGGAGCCAAGACAAAACAAGGCAAGGACAGCAGAATGGTAAAACCCGTTGAAAGGCTCGTCCGACCACAAGACGTCCCAGGGACCATGCTCAACTTGGCACTTACCAACCTGTCAAGCCCATATCATGTCCTTCGGTTAGCCTCTTATAACCTCCTCGGGGCATTGTGCCGATCTTTCGACTTCGGTGTTTCTGGACGACTGGTTTGCAATCGAGGTAACACGAGCTAGCCATCTTTCGCTTGTCTTCTTCCATATGCATACTTACGTGCCTGATAGATTTAGCTGTTCCTCTTGAGCCGACACGATTTACCGTGAATATCAGTCAAGAATTAGCTCAAGCCGAACCCCAACTCACAGCGGACTTTCTGACCGAGTTTTTTGTAAGTTGGGATAGTATTCCTGAAGAACAGAAACCCCTTAGCTTGGAATACGTGGCGCCTTGGCTCCCCGGCCTTCGCACAACAGTTCTAGTTGTTGAGGCAGACGGGGACAAAGCACGAGACAAAGTTGCATCGCTTCTACGAAAGCTGATAGACATAGCTGTGTTGGACCAAAACTTGACATACTGTCTGGCACAGTACATCTGGCCATGTATTGCACAAGATGAGCTGCTCCTTGAAATTTTTATGGATGAGCTTATCAAGGCCGCGCTTAGTTACGGAAGCAGGGCAGACACTTTAGAGATACTGTCTTCGGTCATGGTTGGACTTGGCACTGTTACCTTGCGGGCTAGAATCATTTCTCGCCTTCGCAAGGCTCTTAACAGGTCATCGCTACGCCCGACTCGCTTACTCCAGGACAATTCTGTCTGGGAAGAAATCTGCATCCTGCTTCAGTTTTGCCTGGGCTTGTCTTTTGACAGTCGAGTGCAATCCCAGATGTTTCTTCCAGAAATTTTCCATATCGTCACAATGTTGGCTAACACCGGGGGAAGCGAGGTACGATTGCTTGTTTACAAATTGCTAATCAACTCGATTCATGCAATATGCGCTTCATTCAGTATAGATGACGCAAAATTGGTCCGGCTGCGGTCAATTTTGGACATCTTTGGCGACACCAGAGGAGACATTTTCACTGCTCCAACGTCGTTGGCAAGGGACGGGGCCTCAGTATCAACGTCACTTGACTCGGGCCCAGCTCTGGCCTTAACTGAGAATCTTACATCTGTATTGTTTGAGGTCTGCTTGATAGCTGCTCCGTCAATGGATATTGCCAACGCCTGGCGTGCTCGATGGATGAGTCTCGTGGCCAGTACAGCCTTTCAAAATAACCCTGCAGTTCAGCCAAGGGCATTTGCAGTAATGGGATATCTGGCAAGGGAAGAAGTGGACGATGATCTGCTATACCAAGTCCTGGTAGCCCTCCGAAATAGCGTTAGCCAGTTTGGCGAGGATGGAAATAGTGAAATGCTAGTTTCCATTATTACATCCTTGTCCAAGATGATGGCCAAATTACCATCCAGTTCGAGATATGGGCTTCAATTATTCTGGTTGGCTATGTCACTTGTGCGTCTCGTACCGGCTGCCATTTTCAACTGCGCAGCGCAATTTCTGGGGGCCATCCTGACGAACATTGGCACAATTGGCAATGTGAGAGGAGATAAAATGGTCCCTCTCCTCCTTCAGTGTCGAAGCCAGTTAGAGGACGCCGCTTTGCCATTGGACGATGCTTACGGCATCCGGTTTGAAGAAGATACCTTCCACTTTGCGGTTTGTGCTTGTCTTGTTCGAGGTCTCACAGACACAGCGACCAGACCAACCGCAATTCAGGTTCTATCTTCATTCTTAGAGATGACATCTCGATCTCAGGACCCCGTCCCAGGGAGTCCTAATCGTGCCATGCATGGGTCCCCTTACCTGGCTCTCCTGCTAGCCCGTGGCATGCAGGAAGATTTCATGGACAGCTTGTGGTGGTCTGACCTTAAGACGGAAGCCATTTCTGATATTCTGGACAGCCGTGGCGTGCAGGGTGTCGACAACATGAAAGATAAGGACCTCCTTCTAATTTCAGCCATGGAGCTTGTCGATTTCCATTGCCTGGAGGGTGCTGCACAAGCCCGCAGCCTTCGCTGGCTCAACTCCCTGGCCGAAGCCAGACCAGTCGTCTTCACGAGCTTGTAAGCCCACCACGGTAGAATTTGTTATCATAATCACGCTGACATTCATCTAGATGTGGGGCTTTAACATCCGTTTTGGACGATGTGCTGCTGCACAGCCAGGAATCGGCGGCATTGGAAGCCGCTCATGTACTACTGCGAACGCTTGCGTCCGATCAGAAATATGCCCAAGCAATGGGCTCCATGCACTCATTAAATAGCCAGCTTACTGATATGGGATTTGGCGGGTTGTGGAAAACACCCAAACAGAGTACGGCAGAGGACGCAAAGGGAGAATGTTTTGAGCTTACGGAAAAGCTGATCGAGGTAGGATGCAGACAGGCCGCAACCTTCTACAGCAAAGCTAACCTCATCGTAGCTCATCGTTATGTGATCGAAGTGTATGCATTAGCGACGGTCATAAAATCTTCACAAAGAATCTAGCTACTGAAGCCGCGAACGGTAGTAGTAGGTATTGGCCCTAACCACCGACTTTCGAACCCAGATATCTTCATTTGATTTGCCGGGATGTTTGAAGTGAATCACGCTAGCCGACATCGGCTCCCACATACCAGTTTTAATCAATCAATCACACTTGACAATTTAAAAATGGGGCTCCCGCCCACTGGGTAGTTGATAGGTCCGATTGAGTTGTGCCCACGCTGTCGTAAATCACCACCGAAATACCCTCGAATCCATCATTGACTCTCTCCTACTCGTCCCTATCCCCTAACCATCGCTCTACGACAGTACTTGGACCGGCAGCAGTTGTTCAAACAGCTGCGCTTGTCGTCTCATCAACATGTCGACTGTCGATATGGGCTCTCCCCAAAAGATATCTATCCTCGGCGAGGATAGCATTATCGCGGATTATGGCCTGTGGCCGGAATTCGTAGCCACTGACCTAGTCAATCATGTGCAATCGTCTACATATGTTCTCATCACCGACACAAACCTTCACGACATATATGTGCCGCCTTTCCAAGCCTGGTTCAAATCCCAACAACTAGCCGACAACGCCAGGTTGCTCACGTACGCCATCCCGCCCGGTGAAGCATCGAAAAGTCGAGAGACGAAAGCCGAGATCGAAGATTGGATGTTGTCCCAAAAATGTACCAGAGACACTGTCATAATTGCTCTAGGAGGCGGCGTCATAGGCGACATGATCGGCTACGTAGCCGCTACATTTATGAGAGGAGTCCGATGTGTCCAAGTCCCAACGACCCTATTGGCCATGGTAGATTCGTCAATTGGCGGTAAAACCGCAATCGATACTCCAATGGGGAAGAATCTGGTTGGTGCATTCTGGCAGCCAAAAAGGATATACATCGATCTGGCCTTTATGAAGACTCTCCCCGTTCGTGAATTCATCAATGGAATGGCTGAGGTGATCAAGACGGCAGCCATTTGGAACGAGGATGATTTCACCATATTGGAACAATCTGCTGCGGATATTCTGGCATGCGTCCGGTCTAAGGGCTTGGACCGCCTGCTTCCCATCAAAGACACTCTCACGCGTATCGTGGTTGGATCTGCACGGGTGAAGGCGGAGGTTGTATCCGCTGACGAGCGAGAAGGAGGCCTGAGAAACTTGCTTAATTTTGGGCATTCCATTGGCCACGCAATCGAAGCTATTTTGACACCTCAGCTTCTCCACGGCGAGGCCGTTGCAATTGGCATGGTCAAAGAAGCTGAACTAGCCCGCTTTCTTGGTATCTTACGACCCCACGCAGTGTCGAGATTATCTAAATGCATTGCTTCATATGGGCTGCCTACATCGCTCAAGGACAAGAGAGTGATAAAACTCACAGCGGGGAAAAAGTGCGGCATCGATACACTTCTGGAAAAGATGTCAGTAGACAAGAAAAACGACGGTGATCGAAAGAAGATTGTCTTGCTGTCACGGATCGGACAGACATTTGAGTCTAAAGCCAGTTTTGTGGCTGATTCAGACATCAGAACAATTCTTTCCGCTTCAATCAGCGTTACGCCTGGCATACCTAACGGCCTGAAGGTTACCGTGACACCTCCTGGATCTAAGAGTATTTCTAACCGGGCGCTTATTCTTGCTGCTTTAGGTTCCGGTCCTTGCAAAATCAAAAATCTTCTACACTCTGATGACACCGAGTTCATGTTGTCGGCCATTCAGCAACTTGGCGGGGCGTCTTATTCCTGGTATGATGCTGGAGAAATTCTTGAGGTGACAGGAAATGGCGGCAAGCTGAGTGCCAGCAGAGAGGACCTTTACATCGGCAATGCCGGTACCGCGTCTCGATTCCTTACGACTGTCCTGACATTGTGTTCTTCAACACAGGAGTCGAATTCGACTGTCTTAACGGGCAACACCAGAATGAAGGTGCGGCCAATTGGACCGCTAGTAGATGCCTTGCGCCAAAATGGCGCTCAGATCGAATACCTAGAGCAGGAGAAAAGCTTGCCTATTCGGGTTCACTCCACAGGAGGATTCCAAGGCGGCATGATCGAATTGGCTGCAACAGTATCCTCTCAGTATGTTTCATCCATCCTCATGGCAGCTCCTTATGCCAAAACACCTGTTACTCTTCGCCTTATTGGCGGAAAACCTATTTCACAGCCATACATCGATATGACCATCTCGATGATGAGCAGTTTTGGAATATCTGTTACGAAGTCTACAACAGACATGGACACGTATCACATCCCGTTGGGTGCGTATAAAAACCCTTCGGAGTACGTTATTGAGAGTGACGCCAGTTCTGCCACGTACCCACTAGCTGTCGCAGCCATCACGGGAACTACTTGTACGATTCCAAACATTGGATCAGCTTCCCTCCAAGGGGATGCCAGGTTTGCAATAGATGTCCTGCGACCGATGGGCTGCTCCGTCCAACAAGACGAGCACAGTACAACGGTAACTGGCCCGGTTACTGGACAGCTGAAGCCACTGCCACATGTGGATATGGAGCCAATGACGGATGCATTCCTAACTGCCTCAGTCCTGGCTGCAGTTGCAAATGGCGAAACCCAGATCACAGGAATTGCCAACCAACGTGTTAAAGAATGCGACAGAATTGCGGCAATGAAGGAGCAATTGGCCAAATTCGGCGTCACGTGCACCGAACTGGACGACGGGATTCAAATTTCGGGCAAGTCGTTATCTGATATACGGACCCCCAATGTTGGCATTCACTGCTACGACGATCATCGCGTTGCCATGAGCCTTAGTGTGCTCTCCGTCGTGGCTCCTGGGTCGACTATTATCACTGAAAGGGAATGTGTTGGCAAAACCTGGCCCGGATGGTGGGATACGCTTGCACAATCTTTCAAAGTGAAGTTGGACGGCCCTGATACTACAGACGGCGATAGCGATATCAAGCATGCCTCTCCTCAGAGGCTTCACGCCAAGCGCTCCATTTTTGTTATTGGTATGAGGGGTGCCGGGAAGACCACAGCCGGCCGATGGATGGCCAAATTACTTGACTGGAAGTTTATCGACCTGGATGAAGAGCTTGAACGACGCTCGGGCAAGACCATACCTGAGATTATCAACAGTCCCAAAGGGTGGGATGGCTTTCGCCAAGATGAATTAGATTTGCTACAAGACGTAGCGGAGAACATGCCCGAATGCCATGTTTTATCCTGTGGAGGCGGGATTGTGGAGATGCCCAAGGCGAGAGAGTTGCTACAGAACTATTGTAACAGTGGCGGCATGGTAGTTCTCGTTCATCGAAATACAGATCAGGTCATTGAATATCTGATGAGAGACACCACTCGGCCAGCATACACAACAGAAATACGTCAAGTGTATGAGCGCCGCAAAGCCTGGTACGAGGTGTGCTGCAACCATATCTATTACAGTCCTCATTCGGCGCCCAACACTGGATATAACAGCATACCGGATGACTTCAAAAGATTCGTGACATCTATTACAGTTGGGAATAGTTCTGTGAAAAATATTGCCAAGAAGGATGAAAGCTTTTTTGTTTCCTTAACTGTTCCCAAACTGAACGAAAGCTTGCACGCGATTAGCAGTGCTAGTGTCGGGTCAGATGCGGTTGAGATTCGAGTCGATCTCCTAGACGACTGGTCTCTTGAAGCGGTGACAGAGCAGCTTTCATTGCTACGATTTGTTTCAAAACTGCCCGTCATATTTACTGTCAGAACGGTTTCACAAGGTGGACGATTTCCAGATGCAGCCAATGATCACCGATATGACCTGTATCGGTTGGCGTTGAGACTTGGCGTGGAATATCTTGACGCTGAAGTCACATCCACGGATGAAATTCTTCAGGAATTGACAGAGAGCCGAAGAAACACTCTCATTGTCAGTTCTCACCATGACCCTTCTGGATCTTTGTCCTGGAAAAATGCGTCGTGGGTTCCGTTTTACAATCGAGCCCTGCAATACGGGGATGTGATAAAGCTAGTTGGCAATGCCAAGAGTATCGAGGATAATTTCGATTTAGCGAATTTTAAGTCAAGAATGATGGCTGATCACAAAACACCAATCATCGCCATCAACATGGGCGTTGCGGGTCAATTAAGTCGAATTCTCAACGGATTCTTAACACCGGTATCGCACCCAAATTTGCCCTTCAAGGCAGCGCCAGGCCAACTATCGGCCTCTGAGATTCGTCAAGGCCGTGCACTTCTTGGTCAGATCAGAAAGCGAGAATTCTATCTATTTGGGAGTCCCATTTCTCAGTCTAGGTCGCCAGCACTCCACAATGCTCTCTTCGGCATCACCGGACTACCACACGAATATCATCTCCATGAAACCAGTTCAGCTGAGAACCTTGGTGAAGTCCTTCATAGCGAAAGTTTTGGGGGCGCTTCTGTCACTATCCCCCTGAAGAGAGACGTCATGGCGTTAGTTGATGAACTAACACCAGCAGCGCAGGCGATTGGAGCCGTTAATACTATCATTCCTCTCAATGACGACATCTCATCAAATAGACGTCGTCTTTTGGGTGACAACACCGACTGGAAGGGCATGGTTTATACATTATCGGAGGCAGGTGTTATCAGCCCTGTACAGAATGAGTCAGCAGCTGTCATAGGGTCCGGAGGCACAACACGTGCAGCAATCTATGCTTTGCATTTTATGGGATTTGACACCATTTATGTCGTCGGGCGAGATGCACATAAAGTCAACACACTGGCATCAGAATTTCCTAGGGACTATAACGTCAATGCAATCACAGAACAGGCTCAGGCGGCTGATTTGGCTCATTCTCCTTCAGTTATTATCAGCACCATTCCTGCTGATCAGCCAATTGACGATGGAGTCAAAGGCGCTGTGTTCACCCTCCTGTCACTTTCCGCTGTATCCAGAGTGAAGCGTGTCCTTTTGGAAATGGCTTATAAGCCTCATCATACCCAAATCGTGCAAATGGCCGAGAGTACTAGCACATG